TGGTCGGACTATGCACGTGTAGGTATTTTAGAGTTGGTACCTGGATTTTCACAAGAACGTTTGATTAGAAATCATATCTAAGTATCAACGAATGAGTTCGCGCTTTGCTGCCTATAGGTTTTTGAAAATTGAACTCAAAATGCTAATCGTAATTGATTTTGGTAGGTCATTAAAATAGCTTAGGGCTGATGACGATGCAATGGGGTTCTGCAATAGTTGCGGCTTTGAAGTGATGCTTATTTAAGGGTTACCAAAAGGAATGAATTGGTTGTTAATTGCGATAACTTGATTGCATCCAATATGATCTGTTGCTGATCTCACTGCGAAACTAATCTTTTACAGCTAGGTATATGTATGTATTGTGTGAAGCTACTTACCGCTGAGTAGTTCCCTATTTTTGCTGACCTCAAGTTTTATTCGCACTTCTCAATATATTTTTTTTTAATTGTTGATTTATGCATGATTAATACGTGGGTGTAAATATCGGTGTCAGGGCAGAAGCGCCGACAATATTTCCAGATATAACGCAAAGATGTTGGTGCATGATAACTGATAAACCCTATGAAACTAGGCATAAGTACTATTGCCTAAGTTATTTCTGATATCAACCTTTTTCATCCACTTTTGTTGCGGTTTAGTTTCTGCCATGAGTAGCCGCACGTGAGTGACTAACCCAAGCAACTCCCCATGGGACATTGCAAACGCATGTAAATCACCTTTTCGAGGCAAAATGATACAACTGGCAACAGGAAGACAGTGACCATTTATCAAATAGTCATTGCATTTTTCTCTAAAACACTCACCTTCAGCAACAGTACTTTCATGAGCAAAAAGTCAAATTCGTTCTACAAAGTGAGGCAAAAATGCCTAATTTAAGCGGCACAAAATTTGCCAAATTCATGCTTTAATTCATTTGGCGCGATTATTTGTGTCTGCTTAACTAGTTGTTTAAAAGTAATTGTTAATTATAAAAGAATTTGTAACCCCCGTATCCTTCATGCTGTACAAATTGCGGAGGCATACGGTTTAACATTCAATCTCCCAATTAGTTCGGACTTATTTTTAAAATTAATTTGCGCTACTTGTCAGGCAGCACGTGCACTGCCACTGCTTTAGAAAATGGGAAAACTGTAAAGGCCCGTGGAGTTACTGTACCAACGCACTCAACAACGGACTTCAAACCTTTGGAGCCAATTCACCCAAACAATACTTTAGACATGTGTAGTCGATGTGATTGAGGAGATTTTACTACGGATGTCACGATCACGAAATCACCGATTATCTTTTAATTAGTCATCCTCAATAACTCTACGTCACTTTATCTGAAGGCAGATCTTCCCTCTAGGGTCGATGAACAACAAAGTAGGCCATGGTAAGCAGTTGAAAGACGAAGCTTTGACCAAAAGTCGGTAAGTTAGTTAATGTTACAAAGGAAACCTCAATGTTGCTTCCGCAGTTTTATTTCTGATGCGCAGTGAAATGTGACACCAGGATTACTTTATCAGGATGTAGGCATTTTCTACACTTAACTAAAGAATGCACAGATTGATAGAATTCTGCATTCAGGCAATTACGCCAAACCACGCCACAGTAGTGTAATGACATCGATTTACCAATCAGATTCGGGTCACCTGACTTGAGGTCATAAATAAGTTATGAGTTACTCCACCCAGTGGGCTCATTCATTTCAAACTTGACCTCGGCATCAACCAATTCAAATGCATCACTGAGGCAGAGACCTACGTGCCCATTGCATAACTTCCTACAACTTCTGACAGGATGCAGCCTTTGCTACAATTAACACGCCAATCAGTATTTGGTCCATTCACTCCAGAGCACCGTAAAGAGCTGGTGAAAAGTGGTTCGTTATCTGCTAAGCTGCACATTAAAATTAATTAACTTAGCGATTAAACATGCTGAGGTTGACATTATCTAAGATGACAGAATACAGTTTGGATTCAAAGGCAAAAAGCACGTAGTTGTAGATTGGGAGTGGTGAATACTCGGGGTAGGGAGGAGAGATTGACTACAGAAGGCGTTATTCAAGAGCTGTAAGGGTCTGTAAAAGCAGAGGCTTTGAGATCCGGGAAGCTTAGTGACATTCAGCTTCGGTGGGTCCACTATTCCTTTATCTAGTCCGCGAATGCAGCCTCACAGTCGACAGTCCATGCTTTTTGGGTTCTAGGCGCAGAAGTTATAAAATTTGGTTTAGAAATCTGTTTATTCACGCGGTCATTCGCTGATTTCTGACTCATTCCTTCATTCATATTTAAGGGGCAACCTTGGGTGTTTGCCGTGAATCAATCTTAACTTTAAGAGCAAAGATAAGTGACTAGACACGAAATCGCTTATCTGGTTTGCGTGAAGGTGTACATACACTGATAAAGCATCACGTTTAAATGACAAGCAAAGCTAAGCGGAAAGTGTCGTAAACAATACAATACGTCGCATTTTTTCCTTGAAATCAAAATTCTTTATCACGATTTAAGTGAAAATCCGAATAAATGAAAGTAATAGACGCCTAAGTTTTGCAGGTTTAGCAAGCATTCCGAATGTACACTTATCAGCAAATTTTTATAGTAGTGTCTACCAACTCTATCCCCATTCCATTCCCAACATGGAGACACTTCAACCACTTATTAGCGGAGAACCGCTTTCATAAGTAAGCACAGCAGAACATTCTTTACGTTTCTTCACAGCGACGTCTTGTTATGGATGGATTAGCTCCTTCATTCGATGTAGCTCATTTATATATGTAATTCCTTATATATTCATGCATATATTTACCCAAATTGCCTCAAAATGTTCTTTTTATGACATTCCAATTGAAATGGCCAGGCTGAAATTTCTTATGCTAGACTATCAACGAACGATGTAACTGTAAGTTAAGGCCTCACCAGCAG